GAAGAGAAGAGAAGAGAAGGAGAATAATACTTTAATGTCTTCCAGGAGATCTCCAGCAACTGCTCCAGCCCCATGCAACTCCTCATTGCCACCTCCAGGCTCATGTGACTACCTGTCCTCTCCCCACCACAGCGCAAACTACACCTCCATCCCATCCTTCCCTCCCTCCGTCTCCTCGTCCCATCCCTTCCCTTTTCAGTCTGTTCTGCAACTGAACCAGGCTCTTTTCTCACCTTCCTGGAGCCAGGTGGGCCCCAGCTAAGTTGGTCGATCCCCACCTCTGGCTCTTTGCCCCGTTCATGGAGGAGATGTGGGTTCAGATGCCCCATGCTCTGGTTGGCGTTTTCCTTCTGCTGCAGGGCAGAGGTGGCCTGGGGCCTCAGCCATGGACATTTCAGATGGAAAATGGTTGTTGTAGTCACCAACAAAGACACACATTGAGGAAGAAGGCATGTTCCCTCTCTTCCCCAGCAAAGCAACACTCTGTAACTAAAGTTTGGAAAACAAGATGGAAAGCGAGAATCCCACAGAGTTTTTATTTGTACTAAAGAGAAACTCATCTTGCCTCCCTGCTCTGAGGCTCTATTAACTGTCTTTCTGATAAATAGATGGCTAGGAAACATAATACAGCATTTTCAGGGTGATTCATTCATTTTTCTTTATTAATTTTTCTTTCAGCACAAAAGGTAAAAAAAAAATAAGGACCATATGGAGAATGAGCAGGAGTCGTTTCTCAATGCCACAGCCATCTGAAAAGGGTTGAGATCCATAGCGCACCTCTGGAAAACCATTCACTCTTCCCAAATCACATTAGGCAGGTACAGATTGTTTTCATTTTTATGATTTTTTTTTTTTACCCTTCTAAGCTCTAATAAAACAGATTATGACCAAAATGACAGGGGGCAAAATTGCCTTTAAGTCCCAGATGGCAAATACTTGTAACTCACCTAAATGAAAGTATTTATTTTGAAATAAAATGTGTTTTAATTTAGCAGAAAAGTTTGTAACAAGATGTGTTTCATGGAGACTGAAACTATACAAGCACGGACTACAAAAGGGGCACCTGTTTTGCTCTCAGTGTTAACTGGGAATTGGAAGAAACTGCACCAAACTCCATCAAATATCGCTGCCATTTGAAGGCCCTGATGCAAGACAACATGTTCTTTGGTAAGGGACTTCTTTTATGGCACCTAGAAGTTATGGACAGGATGCAAGAGCTCCTGAGTGCAGCACTTAGACTCGTCTTCTATCCTCCCTGACTGAACTGCCTGCTTTCCACATATTTCCTTGTTTTTCTCAAATATTTTTTTTTTTTCACAGCTAAATGGCTTATACATGCTAATATTAAGAGAGAAACAGGAGCCCATGCCAAGCAAAAGAAAGTTTCTCAGAGGGGTTGTGCTGCCTCCATCCTTGTAGGTTTTTAGAACCCAACTGGATAAAACCCTGAGCAAACCAGCCTAACACTAAATGAAACTTCTCCCTGCAAATCTTAGACCATCAAACCTGCTTCCACTTTCACGGTATAAATCAGTGCAGATTTACATACTCTATCATTTTTGAGGTTCTCTTTCCTCCTTTTCTAACACTTCCCCCTGATATTTGTTGTTTTGGGCTCTAGGCTGACCTTTCTGGAGAGTGATCTGCCATGCCCCCAAAGGATTCACAGTTCACTCAACACTTGCTAAACCACATCTAGATACTGCAGGTGGTTTTGGACCCCAGTGCAAAAAAAAAAGGCACCAGAAAGATGGAGTGAGTTCAGCTGATGACTCCCACGGTGGCTGGGGTTTGAGCAACGCTCCATGAGGAGAGGCTTAGGAAAATGGGCTTGCTCAGCCCTGTTTTGGGAAGACCCAACAGCAGAAGAGCAGGATTCCTCTGGTCCTATCAAGAAGATGGAGCCAAGCTCCTCACAATGGGGCAGGCAGGAGGATGAGAAGAAGCAAGCATAAGTTGAAACAGGAGAGGTTCAAACTAGATACAAAGAGAAGTTTTTTCATGGTAAGACAAAGGTATGAAACACGTTTGAGTTAGGAAGACCACATCCTTCAGTTGGGAAGTATCACTTACATTTATAACTTGGTTATTTTTTTCTCTTGAGAGGTTGTAATATTATTGAATATAATTATTCATTGAAATTATTTTTACAATTGCTACCACTAACTCTGCCTCTGAAATTTTTCAAGAGCATATGGTACAAGGAGGCTGAGCTGTCCTGACTGAAGACCCAATAGGTCAGAACAAGACCAGAGAGTGGGAGGACTTCTTCTGAAGTACATTTCTGCATCTATAATGTCCTTTCCTGCAATTATTTTACTTAGAGATCATTGCTACAGCCAAAGTTTCTGACAAAACTTTTGCTAAAATGTTTTTGGAAAGTGAATGTGCCACAAGTGGAAATCATGAATTAACCCAATCAGTCAAAAAAAACCACTGTAGAGTTCACTCAGCTCTGCCATTGTTAGGAGTGAGATGGGAACAAAGAAGTGCAGTGTCAAAACATCTTCATTTGTTTACTGAGTCATTTTTCCTTCGCCCTGTGCTGCCTGCTGGATCCGGGTTAGATTTGGATCATTGTAGTAGATTCACTCTAAGTTCAGTGAGGATAAACACTCTGGGAAGGAGTTTATAGTTGCTGTTTACTTTTTGGCTTGTGGTAGCACCTCAGAGTCTCTCACCATGTGGTAGGCACCCCACAAACAGAGGACAGTCCTACACCAAAGATCTAAGTGTAAATCAAGATGAGCTGGTGTGAGGATACAGGAGAAGGCAGCCAAGCACAGGTCACCGGAAAGTTCTGTTGTTGTGTATGTGAATTAAATTGAGGATCCTCCTCTGTATCTGCTTGGTCCTCACCCCGTAGATGATGGGGTTGAGCACAGTGGGCACCAGGATGTAGATGTTCCCCATGGTGATATGCACCAGTGGAGCCAGGTCTCTCCCAAACCTGTGCACCACAGACAGCCCGATCAGGGGCACGTAGAAGGCCAGGACCACGCAGATATGGGCAACGCAGGTGCTGAACACCTTGAGCCTCTCCTTCCACGATGCCAACCGCAAGACAGCCTTGAGGATGAGGATGTAAGAGAGGCAGATGAGGACAGAGTCCAGCCCCATGACCAGCAGGATGGCGATGAGACCGTAGACCACACTGGGGGTGGTGTTGGCACAGGCCAGGTTCATCACGTCCTGGTGCAGGCAGAAGGAGTGTGACAGCTCCCGGGAACTGCAGAAGGGAAGGGGCAGGAGGAGCAAAGGCAAAGGCAGGAAGAAGAGGACTCCCCTGGCCATGGCTACCAGCCCTATTTTGGCCGTCACAGTGTTGGTGAGGATGGCAGCGTGTCTCAGTGGGTGGCAGATGGCCACATACCGGTCCACAGCCATGGCCAGGAGGACAGAGGACTCAATGGCCGAGAGGCTGTGGATGAGGAACATCTGGACGAGGCAGGCGCCGAAGCTGATCTCCCTGGTGTTGAACCAGTAGAAGGAGAGGACCCGTGGCACCGTGGACGTGGACAAGGCCAGGTCGATGGCCGCCAGCATGCAGAGGAAGAAGTACATGGGAGCATGAAGGCTGGGCTCCGTCTTGACGATGAACAGCACCACGCAATTGCCCACGACCGCCACGACGTACATGGAGCACAGAAAGATGGCCATCCAGAAATGGGCAGCCTCCAGCCCCGGGATGCTGGCCAAGATGAAGAAGGATGGGCTGGGGTCAGAGCTGTTGGAGAAGGGCATGGTACGTGGGGTGAGGAGCAGTCATGCTATGCCATGGCACGTCCCCTGCTGTGAGGGAAAGAGAAACAGCAGCTTTATAAATCTTTTCCCATGACCGTGGGTCCCATGGGGCTGTGCCTGCGAGATGTTGAGAAATCTTATAGTTGCCATTCCAATACCAACAGCTCCATTCTTGTTGTTTTAGCCCATCATGGATATATACAACAACAACAAAAAAAAGCCACGAAATGCTGGCATTTGAAACTGAGCAAGAATTTCTTGAATTCTCTCAAATGCAGAACACTGTAAAATCAGCGTTTTAAATCCTAAACCCAGCAGCTCAACTTGCTTTCTTTCATTTTTAAAGGTGAAATTGTATTTAAAAACCCCCAACAACCAACCAACAAAATAAAACAGATTTTTAGGGCTTCCTGTTCAACTTCGGCTCTGCTTGAGTTTTTCCATATGTGCTGGGCTGCTCTGTCAGAAAAGTGCTCTGTGAAACTGGCTCCCATGGCCCCCCCTCTCCCAAGGACTGCAGACACGCTCAGCGAGTCACGCATATTTATGTGTTTGCACACACAAGCAGGATTTTCATCCTTCCTGCCTGAAAATACGTATGGAAATATCAGAATATCTGTAGAGAAAGTATGCCAAAATACATATGGAAATATCAGAATATCTGTAGAGAAAGAAAAAAATACCTGGTGGTTATTCACCATATTCTCTATCTGTAAACATTCCAGGAGTGCTGTGATCCAAGGGGAATGGCCAGGAAGGCATGCAAAATCCTCTACTTTAGGTGCATTTCCATACTCGGGGATCAGATTATTTTTTTTAAATATTAGGATTTTTAAAATTTTGGGATGGAGCAACAAAGGCAGACCCTGCCTGACTGCCAGCCCTGAGCCCTGATGAGAAGGGGGTGAGCTTGATCCCTTGGAACATGTGGGGCTTCATCCATCCACCCCAATGGACCAGGCAGCAGGTCAGTGGATGGCTCTACTGACCCTGGACCAAACCCACAGTCTTCCGTGGCCTCTATGGACAGCATAAGGTCAAGCCCATAACTGCTCTCCCCAACATTACCCAGCTTTTTGATTATGGATTATTTCTTTCATAGAATCATAGAATGATTTGGGTTGGAAGGGACCTTAAAGACCATCGAGTTCCAATCCCCTTGCCGTGGGCAGGGACACCTCCCACTAGACCAACCATGGTCTACCATTCATTCCCTGTCCATGTAAAACAAGGATGCAGAATGTTTTTATGGCAAACCACGCAGGATATTAGTACAACTATTTCAAAAGTAACGCTTGGTTGTGAAAACATGGGGATTTTTAATGCAGATCTGTGGTGAGGCCATTATGCTAAAATAGCAGTCGTGATTTATTTCCCTGGTGTGGGGTTTTTCCATTTGGAATCTACAACCTCCAGCTTTTTATACACCATTTACAAACAGCGTAGGTGGACTGTTACTGCCAGAGTTGCCTAAAAGCTATTCTGGTGATGGGATTTTCAGCAAACCACTTACCTTAAGGTGCAAACGGAATGAACGAAGCACCTCAGTAATTGCCAGCAGGTATTTGAGCCAACTTACCTGCCAGACGCCGAAGTGTAATTACAGCCTGAGCCTCATCGTAAAATACCCGCCATCCTGTCCATTTCTTTTTAGAGAATGGGGCTGTGAGAGACAAACACACAGAGTAAATAATCCCTGGATGTTTCAGTTCATCTGTAGTTCTTTGGCATTGATAAATCCACCGACTCGTTTTCAGAAGTGACTAATGATTTTGGATTGCCTGTGGGTAGAAGACTGGGCACTGTAAAGAGTTTGTTTTCTGTAGAGATGAAAACTGGATCTGTGTCTTTAAAACCACCGATAAATGCAGATTTATTTTCCTGATCCTCCCACCAGCAAGCCCCAGTAACTCCATTTAACACGAGGTAAGCGCATTCAGACAGTAAAACCTTCTGAGCCAGAGCACCACTAGCAGCAGCCACAGCAGCTGATCCCAGTAAATGCTCATAAACATTGACCAGACTCGTCCCATGGAGCCAAAATTGGTCTGGGACCAACTTCCCAGGATGGAGCAGGCGATGGGACAGCCTGTACCATCTGAATCCCTCTCTCCACTGCTCCCTCCTGTGATGTGGCAGTGAGAGGGGAATATATCTATATCTATATCTATATCTATATCTATATCTATATCTATATCTATATCTATATCTAATCTATACCCCCTGTCAAAAGCCCTCTGAGCCACTAACCCCTTCCTTGCCCCCCATGACATCCCTGGCTGCTGCCTGATAGCCCTGCCCCAAGCATGAAGGAGCAGGTAGGACCAGTTGGGAATAATGTCTACTCGGCTGTGGAGTGAAGTCACAGTTAGGGAAGGAGGAAAGGATAGACGGGGATGTGGCCAAGAGGCACCAGGTGTCTCCAGAACAGAAAAAATATCCTTATTTCTCTTTTAATTACAGTGTGGACAAAACCACAGAGGCGGCAGAGACTGCAGCCTGGCTTGGCATGAATGAGGTGACGGGAGAGTTTCTGAGGGCAGGGGAGATACTCAGGGCAGAGCTCAGAGAGGACTTGGGATGGGAGGAGCTGGCAGTGGGAACCAAGTGGAGATGACAGGAATGGCCTTCCTCCTCCTCCTCCTCCTCCTCCTCCTCTTCTCCCTTCCCTTCCCTTCCCTTCCCTTCCCTTCCCTTCCC